TGAAATGGTATAATGGGGTGAGCAATATTAAGGCGTTGAGTGCTAGGTAAAGAGGGAAAATCAATCGACGAGAATGTGGAATAACATCGACTGAGGTGGTTAGGACATGTGCTGCGTATGCCTAGTCATCGCCTTCCTCGACGGGCAATGTTAGCCGATATAGGGTCAGGCTGGAAAAGAGCTAGCGGCGGTCAAACCGAAACATGGCACCTGTCAGTGAAATCCACAACATTTAGTTTAAGCAAGCCACGTAGGAAGGCGTAGACTTCCTGGTTGGGGTCCTCGGTACGGTAAAAACCAATGGTTGGAAACAATTGGTGACATGGCTCAAAATCGTTCTCAGTGGGTGGTGCAGATGCATCCACTCCTTGTGACTTATGATTTCCAATGAAACTGGTTTGTTCTTGGTTTTCACTATTCCTTTGTTTCACATCTCTGTTTACTGTCTCTATTATGCATTTCTCCTACTTTCTTCTCTTGCTTTGTGTGCTAAATGGAGGGAGTGTGGCGACTTGAACTGCCGCACATATGTGCAAAGTTCTCTGTCGAAAGCAGACAGGCAGACAGACATTATTAGTACGAATAGCACGAGAAAAGAAATGAATGACAGTGGTTATTAATTGTTCGATTCTTTTCACAAAGCAGCAGTCGTTAGAGGGATCTCATTGTCTCAAATTGAAGTGTGAATGGTCATCGAAGGTAGTGATGAGGGTAGCGCCCAATTAAGTGGCTGAGTGGTCAAGGGGCTTGGTTCCATAACCTAAAGGTCCCAGAGTCGATCCCTGGCGTGGGATAGTGGATGGATACGCACTGCTCAGGAGTCCCGAAACAGGACAAAACAACTGTCCACTTCTCTCTGGTTTTCGATGATCGCTCTAAGTGATGTTAGTTGGTGACGAAAATCTCACAGTTGAAATTAGTCCAAAATCCCCAAGAATCGTATAGTCTGAATAATATTGGGTATTAGATTGGTGGAAGTAATTTGGGTACCAGGCGAAGGTTAGATTCAATTACAGTGCACGATTTATGCAGACATTAATGAACTATAGAGCCTTTTAAGCTAAAAGCTAAGTATGTTAGAAGTTAATTGGAGGATGATGACTAGCAGTGGAATCCAGAATGCGCATTTCGTCCTATTTGGTACTCGTCACAGCTGGATGTACCTGCATTTCCTAGTGAGTGATGAAGCTCGAACCCAGTGCCCATAGTTTTAAACGCCAAAGCCTCGTTGGGAACATCATCACTCACTGCGGAATGCAGGTACATCCAGAGACGTGTTCCAAATAGGAAGAAATTCACATCCTGGATTCCATCACTAGTCAACATTCACCAGCGAACTTTTAATTACATGCTCAGACATTGTCGAAGCATCTGCACAAGAAGCTGACATGTCAACCTGAGACCGAGCACTTCAGTCGAATCAATCGACGGGAAAAATCTAAAATTGAATGTTTAAAATGCATTAAAAATGATACTAGAAAGTGGTCAACAGTTACTGTATGTTGAAGGATAAAAGGTGAAACGATTCAGTATACTGAACACTCCTCATGAATCCGAATGAATTAGTTACTGGTGTACTATTTGCATTCATCTATTTTAGTTTCATTACATACTGTTCTGTTACTGTTGTATAGTTAGTTTTTTCAAAGTGTGTCACCATGAACTGATGCATTTTTGTGTAAAGTTCTATCCTGTCAGACAGTTCTGTCAAATTAGTAGGATATCAATCACAGTGGCACAGTGGTTAGGACTCTCGCCGACCATGTACATGGTCCGGGGTTCGATCCCCTGCCGGCGCACACCCGATATCTATGGTCGGCCTGTATATTTGGGCTACCGATATCCATGCTGAAAATTCCATACTTGTACTGAAAATACGGTGTGGAATCAAGCTGTATTCAAAATGAAATAATAAAAAATAAAAGAAAAAAATCAATACAAAAGAGAAATATGTTGCTAGAACTCAGTTACCTGCGACTGATTACTCATGTGCCAACCTGCAAACCGCACTTATTGTGTGTGTGTGCAGGCTAGTGATTCTACTCAGTTTCTCAAGCTGAAGTAGATGGAGCGGAAATCGAATCTGGCATCTACTGGCTGGAAGTCAACTGTCTAAACCAATGAGCCACATCTTTACGAAGCCCCATCTGTGCAGTGCAAGTCAAAGATATTTCTGTTGATAGAAAGATTCTCTAAGGTTATCATTGCGTATATATGATTAAAATTGGATACAATGCTGAAGTTTCGCACTTTCGCTCTTTGCATTATCATCTTCAGAGATGACCTTAAGTTACTTTTGTTTTATTTTTTGTCGGTTGATTAAACCGAAATGTCCGATCCCTGTTGATGACATGTCGACTCCCAGTGCGGGCGCTTTGACAACGTCTGAGGATTAACATGTTATTTGATGAGTCATTAAAGATAGGACTTCAGGTGAACATAGAGAAAACAGAGGTGATGAAGATTCCTGGCCAACACCACCAACAGCAACAACAACAGAAAACAATCAGCATAAATGGAAGGAACCTAAAAGAAACAACTTCTTTTACCTACATGGGAAGCATCGTTTCAATTACAGGCCGACGGAACTGACGAGGATATCAAAGCAAGAATCGGAAAAGCAAGACAAGCTTTCCTTAGTGTCAAGTCTGTGTGGAGGAGGTCAACAGCACTCAGCATCAAAAATAACATCCGGATTTTCAACCCCAATGTGAAGTCAGTCAGTGCTACTATACGGATCAGAGACTTGGTCAGCGCGTCATAAAGAGCACCTCAAACAAACTACAAAGTTGCATCAACAGCTGTCTTCGCTCAGTAACACTCAAGATTAGATGGCCGGCCAGAAAAGATCAGCAACAGTGAGGGATCTCTGGCAATGAGCGAACCCACTCAGCAGGAACTGATTGTGAAACAAATAGGCAGGAAGAAATGGAGATGGATTGGCTGGCCATACTCTGAGGAAACAAACCATCAAGTGACATCACTAGACAAGCCATTGCTCGAGTGGAACCCGACTGAAAGGGAAGCGGCGAGTTGGTCGTCAGTGCGAGGGTGGGTGACTTGGAGGAGGTCATGTGAAGAGGAGATGAAAACGTGTGGACAGACTTGGAGCCAGGTGAAGACTCTAGCAGATAACCGAACGCAATGGGGACGCACGTCTGAAGACCTATGTTCCTCTAGGAATTAAAGGAAACAATAATAATATAATAATAGTAATATTTGATGAGTGGGTTGCTAGCAATAGAATCCAGGATTTACATCTCGTCTTTTTTGGAACTTGTCATCTGAATGCTTCTGCAATCTCCAGTTAGTAATAATGTTCCCACTGGGGAATCGAACTCACCATACTTATTTTCAAACGCTATTTGACCACGAGAGCCACCTGTTGTTCAGCACGTGACCGTCATTATTTGTTTTAGTCAATTTTGTTTTCCCAACTGTGTGGTCCAAGACGTTCGGCCTCTGTTGCTAACGCTTTGTTGTTTCAAAACAATGGGTGCTGAGTTTGAATCTCAGTGGAAATGTCATCGCTCATTAGGGGTTTCAAATACATCCAACTGATGAGTCCTGAATAGGGCGAAACGCTTTTCACTATCCACCAATTAAAGTTTAGGAGATGAGATTTATTCACAAAACTTCTATTCTATTCTACTCTAAGAATGATGACCTTGAGCACTAATAACTCTACCGTAAACACAGACATACAATCCACTATCTTGAATATTAGTGTGTTTAAACATGAATTCTATTAGAAAAATTTAAAAATCATAAATGCAGGCTGTTTTAGTTGAGCTTTTCGGTTATTTAGAGTTTCTAATATCTCATTTCTTGGGTTATCTGCAGCACAACGAGCATGAGTGTTGCGTATCCACAAAACCTAGGGGGGACAACTGCTTGAGACTGGTTACACACGTACGTGACCTGTTTAGAGTGGTTTTCGGAGTTGTGTTTTTGAAGTCTTCACTGCTGTCTGCGGGACATCTCAGAGTGAGTTGTGGTGAAGGAGTTTTGAGGGTCGACCGTTTCTAAGCCCCCGGTCCTCACAGTGGTCGTCCTAGGCAAGTACCTCGCAGCTTCTACACTCCTGTTCACCAACATTACGACTTCACTTCCAGACCTCCAACATAGTTTAAATGAGTTGTAACTTTTTTAAAGTTTAAATTCGATTTAGCTGACCTTTCTGGCATAGTAAGAAGTGCAGAGACATTTGTTCCAGCCAATTTAGCTTGCTGAGTCACTACTATGTGTAAGCACAATTACCACTACTTCAAGGTGGCAGTCTTTGGTCGAGGTTACATTATCAGTTTGTAATCAATAGATATATTGACATAGAACTTGTTTATTACTTTTCCCATTTGGTCCCAGTCACGTGTCAATATAATAAATACAGATTTTTAGGAGAATCTGAGTTATACTAATCATGTAAAGCCGTTTAGGCCATACGAAATTCAGTAAGCTGAGCGAATTTTAGTTTTCCTGATCACTCACTTTATGCGGACGATCAAAATCTATGAGCAGCCTATTTTCGTTTAATCCAATTACCATACACTTACAATTTAATTCCACTTGTTAGATATCGTTACGAACCAGCATCAATTCGAGAGATCACTGAAAGTCGGGGAGGACTGGAAGGCTATTTCGTCCTGGTTTTGGACTCCTTAGCAGTGTGCGCCCATAATCTCGCTAGAGATGAAACCCCGGATCTTCAAGTTACGAGAAACAAAACTTGTTGATCAAGCAATCACTTGGGCCAGAATTCAGTGACTCGTCAGTTCTATCTTCGTCAACTCGTAATATACATGCTCTGTGTTGATTAGTTCGGGACAGAAAAATCGAACTCCACACCACATCTGTGATTGGCCAGCATTCTACCACTGTACCACCGAAGCTCCAGCAATTGAAATTCATTTCATCCAAATTCCTTAATCTTAGTACATTTATAAGTTGATTATTGATTTCTAATTGTTTTTTTCTTTTACTCTCTCTCTCTAAAACTTCAGCTCCTGACCTACAACAGTTCGGTGTAACAACAATATCAAATATATCCAGTAATTCTTCCAGTCTATGGGTTCATACAATATTTGCTATTGGATTTTTTCTCTTGGCATTTTTTCTAATGCAACATTTCTCCAGGCAGTTTCGTCGGGAATCGAATCGAACATTAAATTTTGTAAGTTGGCTTGTTACCTTTTTTGGCGTGTTTAGTTTTTGTCGGAAAAAAGTGCTCAGCTCTCCCTCTGAGTTACTTCATGCATTTATTCCCCTTGATGAATTTGATTGAAGCAAGAATAACAGTGGTTTATGCAGAATAATATGGTACCATCATTTGAATCCAGCGACCCAAGTTCGTGTCTCGGCGAGGCCTTCTCCGTCCACTAGGGCCTTTCGAGTCCCAGTGGCTTAATGGTATGCAAGCTCGCCTTGTAACCAGAAAGTCCTGGATTCGAAATCCGGTGGATGCGTACTGATGAAGAGTCCCAAACTATGACGAAACAGCTGTCTAGTACTCCCAGGTTTTCCAGTTTTAGTGCGTCGGTGGCATAGCGGTTAGAACGCTCTCTCACCATGCATATGGTCCGGGGTTCGATCCCCGGCCGACGCACTCCTTTACCTCACTAAGCCAGAAATAATTCTGGTGAAGAGGAAAGGTTGGGCATGAGGCTTGCAACCCCATCCTGTAAAAATAAACACTGCTACAGAAACTTCAAGCCACTAGCTTGAAGCCCTATGTTCCACTGGGGAACGTGAAGGAATTAAAAAAAATCATTTGTTTCGTTGGCATCTCATCAACTGCTGCTTACAGCCTAAATTTTAACTTTTCATTATAGTTTGATTCCACACCGTATTTTTGGTACAAGTATGGAATTTTCAGCATGTGATATCGGTAGCCCAAATTTTGTTTGCCGACCATTGATATCGGGTGTGCGTCGGCAGGGGATCGAACCCCGGACCATATGCATGGTCGGCGAGAATCCTAACCGCTGTGCCACCGACGCACAAATTATGAGGTTTATGTACGGAAAAGTTTTAAAATACTTGCAAATTTTGCATGATGTCAGTTGACAGAAAGTTCCACAATTAGTGAACAGTGCTCAGAGCATTGTGCTTATATAGTTTTTACACAGGCAGTTCAAGTTTAAACAAAATAAATGTATGCATACAATGATAAAAGAGTTACGTAATAAAGACGAGAGGTGAGTAAGATGATGAGTAACTAATAAATTTGGTAACGATGTACTGAGTTCAACTCAAATCATAGAAACAAGAGACAAGCAAAATTATGGATTATAAAAGGTGGGTGAGGTTTAAGACAGAGATTACGTAATCGAATGAGAGAATAAAGACATCCAGTAACCAGGGCAAGGAAACACTAATAACTGCTTCTTTCTTAACACATAAATCTGGTTTCAAGCGTTTGGTAGAAATTGCTTTGGCAAACTTGAGGAGAATCGAGCTCCTTTGTCTATTGATAATTTCAAAGGATTTCGCGATTTTCGCCTTATCGAGATGTTTAGTAATAGCGCTATTATAAGAGTTTGTTCCCTTGAGAAGTAGACTTTTCGGCATATGTTCAGAAAATTGGAGGTGTGCCCTTCTTTCTGTTCTCCCAATGGAACTGTTCCCTAAGATACACGCAAATTTGTATACACAGTTGGAGTTAACATGAGAAGGGTATCTGTCGACTTTTGATTGCACCAAAGAGCATATTGTTCGATGGACGGGTTATTTTTACACACTACCCATCCAGAGATGGAAACAAGGACAAACAGTTGAGTGAAGAATCTCTTTCCCAGTGAATTCATTCACTTAGTTGTACAATTGCAGTCATATATAATCACCTACGTATGCTTAGTAATTTGGTACTGTGTGAGTTGGACATTCAGTATATAACAAGCAAATAATCCACAAGACTGGAGTTCGCCCAACTTACTAAATTGCGTATAGCTGAATAGTCTTTAGGGATAATAAGTTTAACTCATATACTGTCTACTGTGTTTACAGGATTTCATCATGAGCTGACATCAGTTAGAGAACCATTGCAAAACCAACTGGGAGTACGGGACAGCTGTTTCGTCCCACTGGTTTGGGACTCTTCATCAGTACGCACCCAACACAGTGGTTCGAACCCAGGACCTCTGGTTACAAGGCGAGTTCGTAGACCATTAAGCCACTGGGACCTGACCCGATCCAATGGCCAGCCCATGAATTTCAACTTCTGCTAATTCACGATACGCCGCCACCACTAGCGCATGTCATCACTGGCGAGTATTTGTCCTCACACCCGACCTGCTGTACCGTACTGGTCACGGCTTCCCACTAGAACCTCAGGTAACTACCTAGTGAGCCTCTCATTATTACTTGACTGTCGTATGTGTTAAACATCATGAATGACTGAAAATTATGAAGTTGAATGAGGTAGTACTAATTCAATAGAAAACTAAGGGTATCTTTTTATTTATATACTGAAGTTCTTATAACCTAAAAATTACATAGTATTAGATAAAAGTAATTACTTAAAGTAATCGAAGTGTGTTTAGAAAATCGAAACAAAGATTGATTCAGACTGACTCAGAGCTTGAATTATTCCAGGGGATTATGTATATTTGCAAAAATCACATTGTTCCAGAGTAATTGAAAGAAACAAATTGTAGTATACGGAGCTGGTAACTTGATATTCAGAGATGTGTGTATCAAGTTTTTCTGTCACTTTTGACATCTGAATTAATCCATGATTGAAAATTTTAATGCAATATCGGTAGGTAGCGAGGGGAGGAGGCAGATGATAAAGTTTGATTTAGGAACTTTATTGGACTCTTTTGAAATAGTTGTATATTTTTTCCAAGCGGTGGTTTCTTTAATGGGATTTGATTGATAACAGATTTGATCATGCGCTGAAATGAGTTAGAGAACCATTGGAAAACCAACTGGCAGTACCAGACAGCTGTTTCGTGTTAGTTTGAGACTCTTCAGCACTAAGCACTCATTGGGGTTCGGACTCAGGATTTTGCAGTTATAAGGCGAGCTTGTAGGACACTCATCCACTGGGTGTGGGTACTAGAGTGAAACAGCTGTCCAGTACTCCCCGGTTTTCCAATGTATATATATTGATGAGATCTATAGCCTGTTGTTGTAGGCGTTTGATTTAAAACCAGTGGGTCAGTACACATTCAAAAGGCTTTGTATTTATCGACGTTTCGCCATACATATGGTATCCTTATTTCTCAAACGATAGCCATGACTCTTTACACTTAGTACTTAGGTAAGGATATGATTGTTGACACTTTTGACTGACGCTAGGAATTGTGTTAAAGAGCTTTATTTTCGCATACTTCCATTAACTTCATCATAGATATGCTAATGGAAGTATCCTTAACTGAACTTAACGACTTAGGAATCGACTTGTTACCAGGGAATAGTCTTATGGACTTAGAATATGCAGATGATATAGTCCTGTTAGGGGAGGATGCTGACAAAATGCAGCGTCTTCCGAACACCTTGAGCAGCAATCTTCGCATGTTTGGCATGCGATTCGTACTGTAAAATGTAAGATGCTGCTACAGGAATGACTGGACTACGTCAACTCCTAGCTTAGTGATAGGGAGTGAAGTGATAGAACATGTTGACCACTTCACCTATTTAGGAAGTTGTATCAGCACCAACGGATTGATTGGTGACGAAATCTCAGCACGGATTCAAAAAGATGCGGCTGCTTTCACTAACTTACACCATCTCTGGCGTAGGCGTGACATCCACCTATCAACGAAGGGACGTGTGTACTGCTCAGCAGTTCGCTCCGTCCTTCTCTATGGCTGGCTCTGAAACATGGCCAATACGAGTTGAAGACATCAGAAGGTTAACTGTTTCTGATCATAGATGTCTACGATCTCTTTCTCACGTTAGGTGGCATAATAAGGTAAGTAATGTTGATGTTAGGCGTAGAGTGTTGGGCAAGGAGGGAAAATCAATCGAAGAGGCTATAAAGTTACATAGATTGAGATGGCTAGGTCACGTGCTGCACATGCCTAACCATCGCCTCCCCCTCCCGACGGGCATTACTAGCTGATATAGGTGCAGGTTGGAAAAGAGTAAGTGGTGGCCAAACAAAAACATGGAATCAATCAATCCATGAAATCCTTGACAGTGAAACTGAGTCAGGTAGGGAGATGCAGACTACCGGGTTGGGGCCCTCGGGACTCTAAAAATCAGTGGCTGGAGACAATAGGTGACATGGCTCAAAATCGTTGTCAATGGCTTACGCAGATGTATTCAGTCTCTGTAATATTCAGTCTCATATTCCTTTCTACCATTACTGATTCTGTTTCACTCTTATACTTGTCAAAACTCTATTGATTCTCTTCACTCATTTTCTTGTCTACCTTTGTGTGCTATTTGGAACGTGGCAACTGGAACTGCTGCACTTCGGTGCCAAATTTCTATGTTGAATCCAGATAGATTTTCGCATATCACGTTCCCTAGGATTAATACGAAAACGGGCTCCTCCAGTGTAACTTCGTGGTTTTTTTCCAGTTTTTCAGGCGTTTATTGTTCATTGTCTACACTGTTTTCTATAGTTTCTGATTACTGTTTACGCATGTTTACAAGTGTTCTCTATTTCTTTTTTAGACAGAGTTTTGTTTAATTTTGTGTATTTGATGGATTTTACCAATTAATCTACTACTAACTTCATTGTTTCTGTATTGTATATTTATATATATATTTTTTAGTCAGATAAGACACTAATGATTTGGGGGATATCAAGAACCAATATTTCTCGAGCACTCATTCTAAGGCATTTTGCGTAAGTTATCAAAATTGTCAATTTTTTCAAGGGTGTTAGTTTTTTGAGAATTTGACTAGTTTGAAGTTTGATTACAGAGAGAACCATTGAAAAAAACCCAGAGGGAACTACTGGACAGCCGTTTCGTCCCACTTTGAGGCTCTTCAGCTTTTGGGCACCCACACCACCTCGTCAGGCATTCTACTGAAGCTGCTAGTAACCGCCTACAGGATCAAACTACCTGAAGTGGTAATCGTTGGAGGGATCTACCAGGCTGGATGTGAAAATGAATACTGGCAGAAATTACAATTCGTCTCTGATTGTATGCTGCCCCATGGCTGAATGGTCGATGGGTTAGCCTCGTAACTTGAAGGTCGTGGTTTAAGTCCCATGTAGAAATTTTTCTATAAACTGGGACGAAACACCTGTCCAGTTCTCGCTGGTTTTCATTGGTCTTTAACTGGTGTTTGTTTGTGACCGAAAATCCGCACTGAAATTAATCTGTCCTCACAAAACTCCGTTAGAAAAATAGTGGGGCACTGATATCGGCTAGTATAAACTTCCCCATGTCTCGGATTCCTGGTTAAACATGCATGGATTATAATTTTTCGGTTGAAATATAAAGAGCTCTTTGTGAAAACTAGAGCTTCTTTGGAATCATGTACTTAAAAGCAAAACGTTCCAAAGTTCCGGTTAAACTTTGTCTATTTTTTTGCTGATCTGATGAAATTAGAATAGCTGAACACATATCGGGACGAATGTATTGAAGATCAGATTTTTGTAGGGGATTCTACGTAGCTGCTCAAAACACATTACTGACACGCTGATGAACCATTTGCGCTAAATAATGGGGGATATGCAAAAGAAGTCACTGGTTTCATTTATTTAAGCAGCGTCATTTCAACTAAAGGCAACATGAATGACAGTATCAAAGTCAGCCAGGATCAGAAAAGTCATACAGACCTTCTCTTTTTGTTTATTCCTTTACGTTCCCAGTAGAAAATAGGGCTGTAAACTAGAGGCTTGAAGTTTCAGTAGCAGTGGTGTTTATTTTTACGGGATGAGGTTACTAGCCACATGCCCTACCCTCTCTTTACCAATCTTATCACTGGCTTAACGAGGTTTTGGAGTAAGTCGGCCGGGGGTCGGACACCGGACCACATAAGTGGTTGGCGATCATTCTACCTCTATGGTACCGACGCAGACCTTCATTAATCTGAAGTCACTGTGGAAGTCTTCTGCACTCAGCTTCAGAAAAAAGATTCGGATTTTCAATACTAATGCCAAGTCAATCATTACTTCTATATGGTTGAGAGATTTCTCATCTCACCCGAAACGTTTTCAACAGGTTACTGCAGACATTTACTAACAATTGCTTTCGTTAACTCGATACTGATGATGATCATATTGCCGTTTGGAGGAGGAATAAGCACCAAGGAACTCTGGAAATGAACCAACAAAGGACGTATCGCCCAAAAAATATGCTGAATGAAGTAGAGATGGAGTGGACACACGCTGGAGGAGACCACTGACACTGAAATACGCTCCAGACTATCAAATGGAACCCAGATGAGAAGTGACGAGTTGGGAATACGTTCAAGGGAGGAGATCGCGTGAGGAGGAAATGAAAGCTTATGGGTAATCGTGGAGCTGGCTATATAGGATTGCAGATAACATAATGCAATGGAGTGACTGACTGACCGGTTTTAACGTAGAACTTTGCACAGGTGTGCAGTAGTTCAAGTCGCCACACCCAATGTAGCACACAAAGCTAGAGAAGAGAGTAAAGAGAGATTCGAAAGAAAGGCAGATAATAAACAGAAGTGGGAAAGGAAAAAAGTAGTAATATGGAAGAACAATGGAGCTTTATTGGATATTATAAATCATAAAGAGTGAATGCAACTGCACCAGCCATTGAGAACGATTTTGAGCCATATTACTGACTGTCTCCAGCCACTGGGTTTTACTATCTCGATAATACCAACCAGGAAGCCAGTCTACACCCTCCTACGTGGATTTGATCGACTGATGATGTTGAAACCATGTTTTGGTTTGACTAGCCGTAGCTCTTTTCCAACCTGATCCATCCTATACTGGTCAGCTAACATTGCTCATTGTCGACGAAGGCGATGGATGTCTAGACATGCACAGCAACACATGTTCTAACCATCTCAATCGATGTAGTTTCACAACCTCGTCGATTGATTTTGCCTTCCACACCTACCTAGCAGTCGACCGATGCCTAACTTGAGTATTGCTTATGATATAATACCACTTGACATGGGAGATAGAACGCATACACCTATGATCAAAGACAGCTAGTCGGGATTTTCGTATTTTCCACTTCGAATGGCTATGTCTCACTCACAGCCATAAAGGAGGACAGAGCGAACTGTTGCTGAGCAGTACACATGCCCTTTGGTTGTTAGCCGGATATCACGTCTCTATGAAATGGAGTTGTACTGTCCCACTACAAAACCAATAGAATAATATAATAATAATAATGAGCCAAATAACAGTTAAAAATCCGTCTAATCATACTGAGAATAATAAAAAAACACTTTTGTCACACATGACAGAGTAACAAAATATGAAGCGCAGTAAAATATGAACAGTAAAGAATGAAGTCCACTATAATAATAGAGAACTGTGAATCGTTTTTTTTCTGTGGTTATTGTTGTCATCGTCACATTTGGTTTTGAAAAGTGTGTGTTGGATCAAAGTTTTCATTGAAATTTGTTTCTTGATTAAAAACTTGTTCACAAAGCAAGTATAATGCTGTTTTTTAAGGGAATAGTTAACATATTAATGAAGAATGCATACTCAAATAACGCGCGTGTACTTTGATTATTCAAACAATGTAAGTAAGTCGCAATTACAAGAGAAGAAAAAAGTGGGTAAATTAATTACGACGACACTTCAGTGTATTATAGTCATTTCATCACACACATACACATACATACATAAGTACATATATGTGTGTACACAGCATCATAGCGTTATTCAGTATTTTAAGTATGTTTGATGCAGTTTTTATATAAATATGTATTGTTAACAAAGTTCACTTGAGATTTGTTTACTCACTGCACACACACACACACAAATGTTATCTCTGTGTGTGTTGGCTCGTAAAATCAATAGGCGCCCTACTTACTCTCTTTCTCTCCTTCTCATCCTTTTCTCTACACTCATTCTACATTCTATATGGTATGTATGCATAGAAGTGTATGTTTACATTCCCCCATTACAGCATTATTGAAGTACTTCTATATCTTAGAGTATTTATTACAGTTTATAAACTATTTTTGTATTACTTATTTACACTTATGAGAATTTTTTACAGTTTTCTAATCCTTCTGTACACGTAGAGCATGATTACCCCGGTCTGGTGTACTTCTGCTTCACATTCCTTTTTATCCATAGTATCATTTCTGCTTCATGTAACCCTTTAGTGGAATGGTTGTACTTCCCTTCATCTGCTTATAGAACCTTGTATGTAGCGTCGATGTATTCGGTCTACTTCTTATCTGTTCAACTGTTCAAATTTTGGAAAACAGAAAGATTGAGCGAAGAAATATTTAAATTTTCAATTAGATCCTCATCTCTGGCTCTACTCAAATGTATATAGCATTTATTATAATACACAACAGTTTACCAATCAAGTGGCACTGATATGTTTGTTAACAATAATTAAACAGTGTCAAAATGTCAATGGGTTGATAATTAACGAAGAAAATCAATACACACAATTAAAAGGTAGAAATGGATAGAATAAATTAATTTTACAAGGATAACACGTAATTAAAGATGAAGTGGTCGAAATAAGTAAAAATAAAATAATTTGGATAATTATAATTTAATAAGTTTAGGGGGAGGGGGGCGACGTAGTCCTGTCTTGTAACGATGGCCACGGTAAGGAAAGTGGCTGTACAAATTTCTCCTGTACACAAAGGCTTGGCTTCTTCAGGTGGATTCCGATTGCTTCAGCTGTCTGTAGAAGACGAACTCGTAGAGCAAAGTTAAGATTAGTCGGAATGCGATAAATAATTTTAAATGCAGTATTCAAATCAACGCTATGCTCAGTATCAACAAGGTGTGCTAAAATAGAACTACGAATAGATCTTGTTTGTCCCTTGCTTAACCGTGCTGGATGATGTTCAGAAATACGACGATGAAACTGCCTAATTGTACGCCCAATGTAGCTGGCTCCGCAGCTGCAGTCAAACTGGTAGACACACAATTTTATGAACATTGGTTTTTTCGAAACTGTAGCAATACTGACTCTTCTTAGTGCTGAATTCATATTCTTCTCAGTAAATTTATCTGGATAACCATTTTTTCTAAGTAATTCTTTCATAATCTTAAGCTCCTCATTGAGGCAGTCGTCTGAACATATTAACTTAGCTTTATGAACCAAACAAACATATCACCACTTGTTTGGTAAATTGTTGTGTATTGTAAAAAATGCCATATATATTAGAGTAGAGCCAGAGATGAGGATTTAATTGAAGAGTAAATATTTTTTCGCTCAATCTTTCTGTTTTTAAAATGTCTAAATGGGGATATTTTCTGTTCAACTTTTGTAGCTGGCACTCAGTAAAGATCAACACACACATGTGTTTTCATTTAATCTCGACGTCTAGATGAAGTGCAGTTCCAAGAGTCTGTACTTGCATTTAACCTTACAGGTGAACTGTTAGAAGTAGTTGATAATTCTGTACATCTAGGTAAATTGTTTGACTACTATCAGTTGAGCTATGACTGATGAAATCTCTAACGGTACATCGAAGATCTATCACCATCACAACGGTAGCCTGATCATCAGAAGTCAGATTTAGAATACTTTCGTGGTCTTATTCTTGCTATACATCTGTGGAACTTGACCTCCTCAGGCTGAGGATGTCCAGTAACTCAGTAGTAGATTATCAGTATATCTGCGTAGAATTGATTTTGCACTTTCATGCAGGTAATTCTGAGGTTCTAGTGTGTGTTTGAACACAATGGAGATTATCTTTCAATAAACCTTGTCATCTTTGAACACCGGTATCGATGGCTTAGACATCCAGCGGCTCCCATATCGTTCGCTAATTTTGAGATCTTGAACTGGGTGGAAAAAAGAAAAGAGGTGGTCAACCTAAACCATGGGTTGATGGATAGTTGTGTTAGGTTAGCATTTATTGGTGCATCATGACTCTATGGGGGTGGGGTGCGAGAAAGGGCGATGATCCGAATGAGTGGCTTGAGATGCTGGTAGATATGTCGAAGAGTCGTAATCAGTCATTGGCGAACATGCGGAAATTTCCTCTTTTCGTCTATCTGTGAGAATAACATGATTCAATGCACACCCCTTTGAATGCTCTTCATCAGTATGCTTGCCTGTTTTCATAATCGAGTGGAAGGCATGCAAAGGCTAGCTGTCTTTGATCATAGGTGCCTGTATTCTATCTCCCGTGTGAAATGGTATAATAGGGTGAGCAATATTGAGGCGTTGAGTGCTAGGTAAAGAGGGGAAATCAATAGACGAGGCTGTGAAGTTACATCGATTGCGATGGTTGGGAAATTTGTTACGTATGCGTAGACATCGCCTTCCTCGATAATGGGCAATGTCAGCTGAGATAGGGTCAGGCTGGAAAAGAGTTAGCCAGTGGTGGTCAAACCAAAACATGGCATCATCAGTCAATGAAATCCACAACAGTTACTTTAAGTCACGTAGGAAGGTGTAGACTTCCTGGTTGGGGTCCTCGGGACGGTAAACACCACTGGTTGAAATCGTTTTCAATGGCTGGTGTAGATGCATCCACTCCTTGTAACTTATGGTACCCAATAAAACTATATTGTTCTTCTATGTTACTATTCTTTTTGCCTCATATCTCTCTTTACTGTCTCTATTTTGTGTTTCTTTTTACTTTCTTCTTCTTCTTCTCTGGCTTTGTACACTGAGTGGAGTGTAGCGACTCGAACTGTTGCACATCGGTGCAAAGTCCTCTGTTGAAACCAGTCAGTCATGATTGTGTTCATTAGTCATTCTGTCTTTTCAATATGTTGTGTTTCTTTAAAAAAATATTGTTTTTATGTGGTGCACCTTTTGGTGCCCATAACATATTTTGTTCTTTGCTTACTATCTGTTTAATGTTTTCTTTTTTTCCCTTACAAAATACAATAGTGAACTTTACCCTGATTGTCCTGTTGAAGATGTGCAAATTTGCTATGATATACGTAAATTGATAAAACTTGAGAATGAAAGGTAAATTATTTTGTATTATTATTAATTATACTTTGATGAAAGCGGAGTAGGAGTTATTCTTACAAATATTGTATAGTTTACATTATGAGATTGTGTAGGGACTTGGATTAATTTCAGTGTAGATTACGTTGTGAACCAATATCATCTAGAGGGATAATTGAATATCAGGGAGAAAAGGACAGTTGTTTCTAAATATCAATCTTTGGCTCAATGATGGCTGCTGGATGGATGTCCTGAAGCTGTATTGATTACTCATGACCTGAAGAATTGACTATATCAAGGTGAAGTGGATGCTCACCAAAAGACATTGGTTAAAGGTGGCGCTGTATCATGAATTGACATCGGTTAGAGGATCATTGGAAAACCAACAGGGAGTATTCAACAGCTGTTTCGCCCTAGTTTGGGACTCTTCATCAGTACGCACCCATTAGTGTCTGAACCCAGGAGCTTCTAGTTACACAGTGAGCTCGTATACCAATTCAGCCACTGGGACCCGATACAATGGCCAGCCAATTCACCACATAGCGGGACCACTAACCAGTGTCGTCCCTGGCGAGTATTTGTCCTCACACCTGACCTGCTGTACGATACTGGTCACGACTTCCCACTAAAACTCATAAGGTCCTGGGTTCGAACCACAGTGAGTGCGTACTGATTAAGAGTCCCGAACTAGTACGAAACGGCTCTCCAATACTCCCAGATTTTCTAATAATCCTCTAGCCGATGTCAGTCCATGATGCAATCCTAGAACCAATCGAATCCCTGCAAACCAACACTTGGAGGTTAGAATTCATGGTTCATCGAATTCTCCTGCTCAAATGGCTGAATGCTAACAAGCTTCGTCTCGTAACCTGAAGGTCCAGGGTTCGTTGCCAGCTGGAGTCATGAGTGCGCATTACTTAAGAGTCGCAAAATGGAAGGGTACAGCTGTCCAGTATTATTTCGTCATTATTATTCGTTTGCATTTCGAGTGAAACATTAAAACTTCAACATCTGGCTCCACTACTGACTATAAGCTAATACAATCTCCTCTATGTCACCTTTGGACGCCTTCATTCGAGTTTTACTCGAGGCCTACGTGGCACGTAATATCACTTGAAAGTCACCTCAGTGTGTGCAATCGATCCATCTCTCTTTCCTTTGGCATATTCGTTAGGCACAATAAGTTTTTCGATTTGTTCATTACCAGGGTCCTGATCTGATGTTCGTTTTCTTTCTTTTTTTAACAAATGTCTTATTGATTTGTAATGTGAGGTGATTTAATCGTGAAATTACAAATCTGCAGCATCTCACAGGATTGAGATTACCAGCTCCAGTGATGATCGGTTAACTGATTCACGAGGCTCAGCTGCTAGTCTAGTGTCATCATGATGTTAACATTTTGTCAATATTTTTGGTTTTAATATCAGACAATAGGTTATTGTATATGTCTTATTGTATTATTGTTCATTGATCTCAACTCACATGTCAATCAATAGGTATTCAGCTATAAATTTTCATGAATTAATTGTGAAGAAAGCGTAATTGATTGTTTACCCCATCTCTTTATTAAGTTATTTATATGTATACAGAATAATAATTACCAATGTATGAAATTAACTTTCTCATACTGTAAACTTTATTATTTCAACACTCCTGGTGTTTTGCATACCCTTATCACAGCAACATTCTGTTCTGTTCAGTTAGCGTATTTCAGATGATCTACATACACACTTTATTTCTGTCTGTTTTTACAGCTGATTTTCGATGTTTCTATGTGATATTCAGATTCAGATTCAAATTTATTGGTTGAGGATAGAAGGCTTGGAGCCTATGTTAATCCTTTTCTAGTAAATTTCTGGGGTTTTCCAAACCCTTCTTGAACGATTCAGTTGAGGTTGCAGACACCACTTCTTCTGGGAGTCGTTTCCAAGAGTTTATGACTCGATGTGAGAGCCAGTACTCAATAGCAATGTGGTTTCTTCTTAGCTTTTGAACTCTCCTGCTATGTACTCTAAGGTGTTCCGACCACCTAGTGGGAAGGAAAAGAGAGAATAGGTCAGGTCCGTAGTCATTATTTAAAATTTTAAACATTGTGATTAAATCTCCTCTCTGCTTACGGTATGACAGGGAGAAGAGATTTAAACTGTCTAGTCTTTCCTCGTATGATAAGTTGGTCATGCCGTAAACCATAAGTGTTGCCTTACTTTGAACCCTTTCTAGAATGTGTGAGTCCCCTTTTAGATAAGGGTTGGCGGCCTGGATGCAGTTTTCCAGTCTTGACCTCACCAGAGATGTATATAAGGAGGTGAACATATCTCTGGTGATTCTAGTGAAGGCTCTGCGAATTGCCCATAATGACCTGAAACTACGTGCAGCCACCGCGCGACAGTGTGCTGTAGTTTTTAAGTCGTGGCTAACTATGACACCCAAGTCCAAGTGAGTCTGAACTGATGGAAGTGTTATTCCCTCTAGTTTGTAGGAGCTCGTGCTTGCTTGTCCAATGCGCATGGTTGCACATTTTGCCACATTTATCGGGAGCATCCATTCCATGGACCACTCTGACAATTTGTTGAGGTCCTTTTGCAACATGGACGTGTCACTGTTGCTCTTCAGCTCTCTCCAAATTTTTAGGTCATCTGCGTATAGGACCATAAGGGAGTCAGTGAGCAGAGATAACTCACTGATATACAAAATAAATAGGAGAGGTACCGTGCCTTGTGGCACTCCACTGCGTACTGCTGTCCAAAAGGAGAGTTTCGAGTTGATCCTAACCCTCTGCCTCCTGTCTATGAGGAATTCCCCGAGCCAGTTTAGTAAGCTGCCTTTGATACCAAGACTTTCCAACTTCATTAGTAGTCTTTTGTGAGGTACTTTATCAAAGGCTTTGCTGAAGTCTATGAAGACGACGTCAACGGGTCTTCTGTTGTCCCTGGATTTGACCCAGCTTTCTCTTGCAGTGAGAAGATTTGATTAGTTTATAAACTAATCAAATAACTTTGTAGACTACATTGAGTGAATGTCTGGCTAACTGACTGGGTTTCTATGTGGAACTTTGCACAGAAGTGCAACAGTTCAAGTTGCCACACTCCATAAAGCACACAGAGGTAGAGAAAAGAAATTCCAAAGAACTATGATAAGCAGAAATGTGAGGACCCAATGAATCTGGGAGGTCACAAAGATTAAATGAATCTCCACCAGTGAGAATGATTCTGAGGAATATCACTATAATAGTCTCTAGCCATTGATTCTTAGCATCCCAAGAATCCCAACCACACAGTCTACACATTTCAATGTGGCTGACGCAAACCAACTGTCAACAACTTCATGGACTGAAAGCAGTTTTTGGTTTGACCAGAGTGTTGCCGTCTCGTTTTTCCATATCAGACAAAATTTCTACAAAACCAGTACTTGAAAATTGATCTGATGCTCACTAGCGACTAGCCTTATTCAGGTAGTCACCTGGGTTTCTAGTGGGAAGTCGTGACCAATACGGTATGACACTGGTTAGTGGTCCCGCTATGTCGTGAATTGACAGAAGTTGGAATTCATGGGCTGGCCATTGGATTGGGTCCCAGTGGGTGAATGGTATACGAGCTCATCGTGTAACCAGAAGTTCCTGGGTTCAGACGTCGATGGGTGCGTAGTGATGAAGAGTCCCGAACAAGGGCGAAACGACTGTCGAGTACTCCCTGTTGGTTTTCCAATGGTTCTTTAACCGAAGTCAGCTAATGATGAAATCCTCCAAAGAATCCATCCAATGGTCCTTAATTTTCACTTTGTATTACTTAATCAATAAATATATTTTAGGTCAATAGGTCATTTGCGATTGGTGGCACATTTTAAATATTGTTGTTGATTGTCAATCGCCCGGTCATTTAGTAGGAATTATAGCTTCCATTTGGATGTCATAATAGTATTGATTTTGAGTTTTTTTTGATTTGTCATCACTGTATTTATCACTTAATAATAGATTTAAGAAAGTAGTCTTTTCCCTATGTTCATGCAATTCTTTCCCCTAATGAACTTGAATAAAGTTAAACAGCAAAAAAAAGAATTAGATAACGCATGTTACGTAATAGTTGTAAATATTAATGAGTTGAAATGATTATAATAATAGTAATAATTAAAAGTTGAATAGACATCAGATACTAAAGTTAAGTGTATGAATGAAGATAAACATAGACTATGTGGTGTGAAATTGATCTTGTCGAAAATTAACTGAAGAAGTAATCGCTACGGTTTCAATTAGGACAGCTAACTTGTACCTTAATTATGCTGAATGAATTTAAATTATAGATTTTGATGGTCACTTCAAATCACCAAAACTTTACAGCTCTTATCATTATTGTTTCCTTTAATTCCTAGAGGAACATAGGGCTTCAGCCGTGTGTCTCCATTGCGTCCGGTTATCTGCTAGAGTATTCACCTGGCTCCAAGTCTGCCCACACGCTTTCATCTCCTCTTCACATGACCTCCTTCAAGTCACCCTTGCACTGACGACCAACTCGCCGCTTCCCTTTCAGTCGGGTTCCACTCGAGCGATGGCTTGTCTAGTGATGTCACTCACTTGATGGTTTGTTTCCTCAGAGTATGGCCAGCCAATCCATCTCTATTTCTTCCTGTCTATCTGTTTCACAATCGGTTCCTGCTGGGTTGGTTCGCTCATTGCAGGAGATCTCTGTTGCTGATCTTTTCTGACCGGCCATCTGATCTCGACTAGTATTGAGCGAAGACAACTGTTAAAGAAGCTCTGTAGTTTGTTTGAGATGCTCTGTATGACGCGCAGTGCAAATCTCTGATCCATCCGTATAGTGAGTAGGACTGACTTCACATTGGAGTTGAAAATCCGGATGTTATCTTCGTTTTGATGCTGAGTGTTTTTGACCTCCACACAGACTTGAGAGTAGTGAAAGCTTGCCTCGCTCTTCCGATCATCGCCGCTTTGATATCCTCGTCAGTTCCGCCTGTAGTTGCTTTCCAGGTAGGTAAAAGAGGTTGTTTCTATCAAGTTCCTCTCATTTATGCTGATCGTTGTCTGTTGTTGTTCTTGTCCAGGAATCTTCATCACCTCTTTTCCCTATGTTCATCTAAAGTCCTTCCTATCTTTGATGCTTCTTCTGCCAACTTGTTGCTTTTCGCAAATACCATATGTTACCCCTAAGAGCCTTACAGCTCTTATGGGTAACATATGGTATTTGTTTTGTTTCATCCATTAATTAGTGTTCAACTTCTATTCTTAACTGGGGAATATTAATTTATACGTTTTCTTAATATAAACCAACAAGCTTTCAGAGACCTGTAGATCTTTCCTTTCAACTCTTCATGTATTCAATTACACAATACTAATTAATGTTCAGGTGCTAGTTTGTAAGCATTTAATTGGTTTGAAGTTTGATTGCCGACTGATATTAATTAGAGAAGGATTGGAAACTCGGTAGTACTGGACTAATGTTTCGTTCTGGTTTGGGACTCTTCAGTGCTATGGACGCATGATCGTAAAGGGGATTGAGTCCAGGACTTTCAGATTACGATTCCAGGGTCGTTGACCATTCAATCACTAGGATGGAATCTAACAACAACCCATGAATTCTAACTTTTTTGCCAATTCGCGACTTTTAACACCATCACCACTGATAATGTTGACCTCATCCACTCAGTTACTCCATCACTTGTGACTGAATATTTTTATTTGTTTTATTTATTATTATATTGTGCGTCGGTGGCATAGCGGTTAGGACGCTCGCCGGCCATGCACATGGTCTGGGTTTCGATTCCCGACCGGCGCACTCCTTTACCTCGCCAGAAATAATGCTGGTGAAGTGGAAAGGTTGGGCATGAGGCTAGCAACCCCATCCTGTAAAAATAAACACTGCTACAGAAACTTCAAGCTTCTAGCTTGAAGCCCTATCTTCCACTGGGAACATGAAGGAATAAAAAAATTTATTTTTGTAGTAGGACTAAAGGAGACTGTGTAGCATATTCCTCACTCTTATTCCTTTGCATCACGAGTGAAACAAAGGGCTTCAAGTTTGGCCTTTAGAATTTCAGTGGCAGTAGTGTTTTTTACGGGGTGGGGGGGGATTGTTAGCCTCAGGCTCAACCTTCCCTATTTGCCTGACTTACAATCGTCTAGACAAAGTTTAAGAGTGTGATTTGGCCCGGGAATTGAACCATGGACCATGTGCGCGTGGTTTGCCAGAATTCTACTCTTGAACTACCGATGCAGCGGTCGGTAGGTCGGTTTTCGACATAGAACTTTGCACATATGTGCGGCAGTTCAAGTCGCCACACTCCCTCCATTTAGCACACAAAGCAATAGAAGAAAGTAGAAGAAGTGCATAATAGAGACAGTAAACAGAGGTGTGAGACAAAGGAATAGTAATAACGAATAACAATATAGTTTAATTGGAAATCATAAGTCACAAGGAGTGGATGCATCTGAGCCAGCCATTGAGAACGATGAATTTGAGCCATGTGACCAATTGTTTCCAACCATTGGTTTTTACCGTCCCGAGGACCCCAACCAGTCAGGAAGTCTACACCTTCCTACGTGACTGGCTTAGACTAACTGTTGTGGATTTCATTGACTGGTGCCATGTTTTGGTTTGACCGCCGCTAGCTCTTTTCTGGCCTGACCCTATGTCAGCTAACATTGCCCATTGTCGAGGAAGGCGATGACTAGGCATACGTAACACATGTCCTAACCATCTTAGTCGAAGTAATTTCACCGGTGCAGCACGCTCTCTGATAGGCGTTTCTCATGTACCAGGCCATAAACCGGACTTATTCTTTGATAACTAATAATGCTACCTATTAGCCAATGTTGAATTAGGTGAGAGGCGGAATTCGAACGTCACACGCGTCGACTGAAAGTCGGATGCTTTATTAGCCAAACAGCCAAATCTTCATTTGTGTCAAATACAGATTTCATCATCTTTCTTTTTTTTCATAGTTAGTAAAACTCTTCAGACAATCGAGTGGATTAATCTAATTTATTTTTAGTAAGAATATGCTTTAAGTGTAGTAATGAGGAGTTGAAGTGGTCTTCAATCACTACGTCATATTTTGAGATTGTGTGGTGGTGGCACTCAGCATTTATCTTTCAAAATCTACCTTACTACAATTTGGAAGTGTGTACAACTCTTACAGAATACTAGTGACTCCTCTTTTTACACTTTTGGGCTCACAGTTTTCCGCTTGAAATACTGTCTTCTCGCCACACGTTCATAGCATGTGTCAGGTGTTCTATCTCCCATGTTAAGTGGTATAATTAGGTGAGCAATATTGAGGTTAGGCATCGGTCGAGTGCTAGGTAAGGCGGGAAAATCAGTCGACGAGACTGTGAAATTACATCGACTGAGATGGTTAGGACATGTTACGTGTTGCGTATGTCTAGTCATCGCCTTCCTCGACGGCCAATGTTAGCTGACATAGGGTCAGGCTGGAAAAGAGTTAGCCAGTGGTGGTCAGACCAAAACATGGCATCACCAGTCAATGAAATCCACAACAGTTAGTTTAAACCAGCCACGTAGGAAGGTGTAGACTTCCTGACTGGTTGGGGTCCTCGGTACGGTAAAAACCAATGGTTGGAAACAATTGGTCACATGGCTCAAAATCGTTCTCAATGGTTGGCGCAGATGCATCCACTCCTTGTGACTTATGATTTCCAATGAAACTGTTTTGTTCTTCGTTATTACTATTCCTTTGTCTCACACCTCTGTTTACTGTCTCTATTATGCACTTCTTCTACTTTCTTCTATTGCTTTGTGTGCTAAATGGAGGGAGTGTGGTGACTTGAACTGCCGCACTTATGTGCGAAATTCTATGTCGAAAATAAACAATTAGTCAGATGAATCCTGTTCACACCCTTTACGTGACGACGATGCTTCTCGCTGAAGTCGAAGGGCTAATGCGAATGTGTGAGAGCCACAAGTGAAGTGGTATACATTCTGATCTACCTAGTGGAGCTGCGAAACCCTGATTCCAGTCCTGAGCTCTAGAATCTGAACGAATCGAATGATGCACGAACTTGTTTCGGCCACCGGCAACCATGGGAACACAGCTCCTGGCTCTCCTCCACTGCTTTGTGGATCAGAATTCGTGTCAAAGACTCGAGGGATGGGGATGTCTCCCTAAGGCGATTACCTACTTCACTCTGGGCATCCGGGCATTAAGTGTCCCAGCTGTCGCACAAACTATAAGATTTTATGTGACTCACTCCCTTAGTGACTGACTGACTGGTTTCAACGTAGAACTTTGCACAGATGTAAAGCAGTTCAACTCGCCACACTCCACTCAGCACACAAAGCTAGATAGGAGAATAAAGAGAGTTTCAAAAGAAAGACAGATTATAAACAGAAGTGGGAAAGGAATAAATAGTAATACGGAAGGACAATAAAGCTTTATTGGATATTATAAATCACAAAGAGTGAATGCAACTGAGCTAGCCATTGAGAACGATTTTGAGCCATATCACCGACTGTCTCCAGCCATCTTTGGTTTTTGCCATCTCGAGGATGCCAACCAGGAAGCCAGTCTACACCTTCCTACGTGGATTTGATCGACTGATGATGAGACCATGTTTTGGTTTGACTACCACTATCTCTTTTCCAACCTGATCCATCCTATGCTGGTCAGCTAACATTGCCTATTGTCGTCGAAGGCGATGAATGTCTAGGCATGTCTAGCAACACATTTTCTAACTATCTCAATCGATGTAGTTTCACAACCTCGTCGATTGATTTTCCCTTCCACACCTACCTAGCAGTCGACCGATGCCTAACTTCAGTATTGCTTATCTTATAATACCACTTAACATGGGAGATGGAACGCAGACACCTATGATCAAAGACAGCTAGTCGGGATTTTCATGTCTTCCACTTTGAATTGCCATGTCTGACTGCCAGTCATAAAGGAGGACAGAACGAACTGCTGATGAGCAGTACACACGTCTTTTGGTCGACAGCCGGAAATCACATCTACGCCAGAGATGGCGTAAGTCGGCATACGCCAAACGAGCCTTCTGTATCGGTGCTGAGATTTCGTCTGCGATCAACCTGTTTGGGATGATGCAACTCCTCAAATAAGTGAAGTGGTCAACACACACTCTACTACTCCACTTCCTATTTTTAAGGTAGGAGTCAATGTAGTGCTGCCCTGTAGCAAGGAAGCATCGTCTTACATTTGACAGCAGGACTGAATCACATGTCAAACATTCGAAGATTGCTGTTCAAGGTGTTCAGAAGACTCTGCTCTAATTTATCGGCGTCTTCGCCTAAGCGGACTATATCATCTGCATTTCCTGAGTCAGCGATACTATTCCCTCGTAACAAATCAATCTCTGAGTCTCTGAAGTCAGTTAGAGTCAAGTCCATTATGGCATACATGATGAAGTTAAACATAAGTGGTGATAGTGGCCATCCTTGACGGCGGGCACACTGCTGACTGTCACCACTTCAGATGGTAACATTCCGTAGGCTAACTTCATGAGTTCGAGTAGAGTGTTTTTATCAAAGCGAGGTATTTTCTCGGCATTTACCCTCTTAATACCAATAATGTTACAAGCGTTTTCAAAAAAATAATAATAATAATCGATAGCACACAAGCATCGAAACTGTCATGTGCTTTGAGAAAGATTGTTTATGTTTTTATATTTAATAGCTCATGTGTCTATGTTTATATATATATATATATATATATATATATATATATATATATATAGAAGTCCCTTAACAATAACTCTGTAATTACATTAAATTTCTTTCTTTTCCTTTTTTCTCCTAAAGAGATAGTCTTCGAACTGCATTGAAATATTCTATAGAAAGTTATGAACAAAAAGGTCGACGTCCACTGATCATTCCACGGTGTTGTGGTTGGATGTGTAAAAAGTGTTATAAAAATAATTTTTGTCGTGATTGTTGTTGGCGTGAAACATATACTGAACAAAGTCCAGAATTTGCCTATCCTTCAGATGATAGTCCAATCCCATGGTCAGAGACAGCAGACACTACCAGTATTCATAATAGTAATAATAATAAGTATAATAGAACAATAGCCTTGACAAATAGTTGTTCATGTTGTTGTGCATGCACACCAGCAGTGGATGCAATCGATTATTATGAAAGCAGAAATCATTATATTCAAGAAGAAATCGATAAGGAATATGATATTGCTTTTAAAACACCTATTGGTATAGCATTTGTAACCTTCTCAACAAGATATGCTGCTGCACGGTAAGTTTCTGTGTTTCTAATAATAATAATAACAATAATAATAATAATAATTTATAATCTATGATATCTCATGTGCTTTTGTGTTTTAATTCATGAATAATCGCCATCTAGGTATTAATGAAAACAAAACACGTGGTTCAGCGAAGAGTCTCTTTTCGGCTGCGAATTCATTTTCTTAGCTGTACAATCGCAAATATACATGATTTATTTTGTATGCATGTGTACATTAAGTTTGTCAAACAAAAATACAGTTTTTTATGGTTATTTTAACTAAACGGGTGAAAATTAGTAAGTTATGGGCAGAGTTACGCAAGAAACTAGTGTAGTCACAAAGGTGATGAGTTGTCACAAACTGTTGTTAAAAAGGAGTTACGTAATAATATGAATAGTTTGATGATTGAGTTGTACTCAGGATACAAATGAGAACAACGTAGAGAATATGAAATTTCGTAAGAGTTCTAAATGAATACAAGAATTATAAGCAATTAAAGAAACAGGCAAACAAACAAAATTAAGTCATCAAAAATCGACAAAGTTGTTACCATGATAATAGAAGTGGTTGAATAGTTCTCTCTTGTATGCAGAGCTCCGGTTTTTTTATGCGAATGGACAGAGCTTCAGCGATGCAAAAAAGACAAAACTGTATTGCCTTTGTTAGGTTATTCTTGACTCTGTAGATTACTTTGAAGCAGGAGACGTTTGTTAAGATGGAATGATCAGTATTAACCAGGTGTTCAATTATCGCACTCCTTATTGCACCACTATTGCCTTTCCGCAACCATACTGGATAGTGTTCTTGAATCCTCTCTCTTGGATAGGATGTGCGTCAAATGACCGATGTACCTGACTCCACAGCAGCAGGTGAACTGATATATGCACATAAAAGTGGTCAGATGCGGGATCTTGTCCTTAAGGCTGGCTTCTGCAGATCAGTGGGCGTTGTTGCAAAGAATGGTCTTCTCAGAGTTGATGTTATCCTTCTCTTGAGAGTGTCGCTTGTTAATTCTCCCTTGAAATCCAAGTTCATATAAAGTTTCTTTTTCGGCGCAAGTGAAGTTTCATTCCTTCAAATTCTTGGTCTGATAGTTTTGTCAATGAATCTTGGTGGGTATCCATTTCGGATGAAGATTTCTCTAGAAAGATTTAATTATGTTTCTAGAATATCGGGACTACAGATGCGTTTGGCGAACTTAATGTACACATGCATACAAGATAACTCATATATAAATATATATGCAGTTGTACAGTTAAGAAAATGAATTCATCGAAAAGAGACTCTTTGCTGAACTACGTGTTTTTTGTGTTTGTCATGCAGATATATTATGCATACTAGTAGACTTGGAACTCTAGGTGATCTGAGCTTCAGATGTTTATTTATTTCATTCACGTGAACGAGTTGATCAGCTGTGAACCAGATTTCTTTCGATAAAATGGTTAAATAGATAGACTAATATGGAGAAAACAGCCAAGAGGTCTCTTTTCCTGACTTTTTTCAAAGCTGCACAGATATTCATTGAGCTCATTTTTATACAATGTTAATTGTCAGCAATCATCAGAGGTTACTGTCAGTAATTATTATTACTATTATTCCTTTGGGTTGCGAGTTGTCCATAGGACATCTTCTCCTCACACGACCTCCTGTATGTCACCCTCTGAAGGCAAACTCGTCGTTTTCGTTTCTAGTTCCACACAACGACCTAGCGCCCGATGTCACTCAATGCTCTCCTCAGCGTGTGTCTGATCTGTATTTGCTTCTTCATTTTTGGTAGGGTGATAGACTGTTTGTTGATTCGTTTGCTACCAGAGTTGTGTTGTTTCTGATCACCTCTGGCCATCTTATCTTCAGCAAGGAGTTGGTGAAGGAATCTGCTGATGGAAGTCTGCGAGAGACTGTTGGAAATGCCTTTTTATGAGGCATGTGTTATTTGTGTTTAAAAAGCCGAATTTCGTTCCTAATGTTGTGATTGTAGCAGATTTCCACACCGATTTCGTAGTAATGCCTGTCTATCTGTCTTCTCTTTTCGATCTTGCCTTTCTCATCTTCATCTATGCCTCATGTAGTTGTTGAAACAATGCTGCCGGGATAAGTGAAAAAAAATGACCTCCTTCGAATGTCTGGTTATTGTCAATCTTTCAGAAATAACAATATCTGACAGATGGCAAATAATCCTACCTGATCGAGGAGGCTGAAAACACTAATTAGTTAAATGAAATTATAATCATTTAGAACCAGTGTATCAGTTCAGCTAGCTACACATTGACTCGGTACACAAAAAGGGAACTCTAGTATAGTAATATTACAATTAGTATAAACTTGAACATAGCAAGAATGACAAGTGTACGAGGATAATAATATGAGCTCATCTTTTGTTATTTCGAGGATTCTTCTCAACTGGCTATTACCTGAACAAAACAAAAGTTATAAATTACATTAAAGATTTGAACATACTTTTTTTCAATGACCAGGTGTAATTGATACGAACTGAGCGTAATAAAAGTCTAGAGTGATGTAAGTTGTCAAGTTATTAAGACTTAAAAGGTCTGACTATTTGTAGGATAATTAGACCAATGTTCTTAAGAGCAGAGTTCAACATTTTTGGGTAGAAACAAAGTTCAACTAGAAAGTGCAGGAAATGGATAGAGTGAGTCACACTCGGATAAAATAATACAATTTTTTAAACGGGACAGAAGATACAGCAGCATACATTACTCAATAAAATTATATACTTAGTAATATAGGTTTAATCATCAAAGCAGTGTAGAGTTCATTAGTGTCTCTTTCTACGTACATATATTTGGTTTTAATCGTTTGATAGCGATTACCTCAGAAAAACATAGCAAGCTAGGTAGATTTCTGTCGCCTGTCGATTATTTAGGTAGAATGTTCGCCAACCATGCAGAGGGTTCGTTGTTCGATCCCCGAACAACGCGGGGTGAATAGTGAATTAAAATTATGATAAAAATAATTATAATTACTATAAAATTACTTCTCAGGTGAACATAGAGAAAACAGAGGTGATGAAGATTCCTGGCCAACAGCACCAGCAACAACAAAAGACAACAATCAGCATAAATGGGAGGAACCTGAAAGAAACAACCTGTTTTACCTACCGACCTGGGAAGCATCGTTTCAAATACAGGAAGACGGAACTGACGAGGATATCAAAGCAAGAATCGGGAAAGCAAGACAAGCTTTCACTACTCTCAAGTCTGTGTGGAGGAGGTCAACAGCACTCAGCATGAAAACGAAGATAAGATCCGGATTTTCAACTCAAATGTGAAGTCAGTCAGTGCTACTATACGGATCAGAGACTTGGCGCGTTATGAAGAGCATCTCAAACAAACTACAGACTTTCATTAACAGTTGTCTTCGCTCAATACCACTCAAGATCAGATGGCCGGCCAGAAAAGATCAGCAACAGAGAGGGATCTCTGGCAATGAGCGAACCAACTCAGCAGGAACCAACCGATTGTGAAACAAATAGGTAGGAAGAAATGGAGATGGATTGGTGGCCATACTCTGAGGAAACAAACCATCAATTGAGTGACATCACTAGACAAGCGATTGCTCGAGTGGAATCCGACTGAAAGGGAAGCGGCGAGTTGGTCGTCAGTGCGAGGGTGGGTGACTTGGAGGAGGTCATGTGAAGAGGAGATGAAAGGGCGTGGGCAGACTTGGAGCCAGGTGAAGACTCTAGCAGAGAACCGAACGCAATGGGGACGCACGATTGAAGCCCAATGTTCCTCTAGGAATTAAAGGTTACAATAATAATAATAAAAAATACTTCACTTTTCATCCCCACCTTCCTGAGCTCCACACCATATTATGTATAAATTAATCCTTTTGTTATGTCTTGCATTTTGTCGTCTGGTCCATCCTTGTCACCAAGAGAAATCTGAATCCCACCTCTTTGTCTATTTACAACATAAATAGTTAGTCTTTTAACACTAAGTAATTGTCTTCTTACATCATTTTTGAAACTATGTTGCTCATACATTCTATGTATGACTGGAAGTCATTGTAAAAAAGTATGTTCAGACACCATTTGTAACGTATAATTGATTTACTTAGGATGTAGGCAGTTGAAGAGAACGCACGCAATGAAACGAGCTCGTATTATCCTGCAAATATGTCTGTTCTCCCCTATATTTATTCAAACTAATAAAGGGAACTGTCTAGTTGATATGTGTTCAAAAATGTGGGCATTAACCCTTCTCTTTGTTCTTCCAACTTACGTTCTTTGCCATGTACATGTTAATTTGTCGACACAATTGAAGGGAACATGAGGTGGAAGTTTATCCGCTTTTGATGCTCTCAAACAACTGATCGTTTGATACAGACATGCAAGCTTGGCAGCTGTGAATGTTTGTTTTTCAGGGTAGCTGTCAGTCGGCATCCTATTCTCCTAGCAGTATCATCACCTCTAAAGGCAAACTGTAGAAAGACAGATAGTATAAATGGATTTAAAGGATGCAAGACACGTGATCGATAGTCTGTAATCATTGGTTCTTCATATATTGAGAACGCTGATTGGACAAGTTAAGTTTTTCTACATAGGATAACGAGCTACACCTGTTGTGTGGGGATGGTTTCGAATTCATTAGCGAAATGGTTGAATTGAAACGATTGAAGACGAAAGACTTGGTAAAATAAGGTTTATTTTGAAACTTGTATCTCTATATAGCCAAATTATGTATACCTTATCTTCAAAGCACCATTTGCACAGATCTTCGTGTTGTGGTACTTCTGGACTTCATATTGTGTTTCTTTGTGTTCCTTTCACTTCTCCAATGTATCTCCACAATGCTGTATCATTTGCCTTCTCTGAAATCAAATGTATTTCCCTGCTATTAGATGTTTTGATGCCGATGAACGTCTCTTTATATACCACTGATGAATCTTATCGTTATCGCTCGTCACAGAATATGTAGAATGTATAGATGAATGTATCACAGCCCTTCAAATCTTCTTTACTCTTACTTTGTCTTTGGGTGGTCACTATTATGTTTATTCTAGCCTAATAGTAATGCAGCTACCTTCATTGCAGTGATCCAGTATAGGCAATATAAGTTCGATGTGCTGATTCATTGACTGTGTAATTTTCTTTATGTCCTTCTGTTCCTTTGAATCTTAGGGTTTCTTCAGTAAACTTTCAGCATCTTAAACTTCTCTGGTGTATTTTAGTATGCCTATTCTGAAGTTAAATTTCAGTATTGGATTACAACGACGGTTAGGGAGTTGATGGTTTCTCACTGCCTTGTGGTTTATCGATTACTAATGTTTTCCTCACCTAAAAGCACTACTCATTCAGAAAAGTGTAACCAAGTATACACAGCACTTATCGCATCCAACATTGTCAATCACACATTGTTACTGACTTAAAGTTTACCCCCATTTTACACTATATAAGCGATATCCGGTTGGGCTTGCCATTTACGGGTTTTCTGTCTCCCATGCCACCTTTCTTTGGGTCAGACTGGGTTTCAGTCATGTTAATATCTCGTTACTTTGACCCAGGTACCTGGCTTGTTATGTGCTGTGATAGAGATCTTGTGACTTTTCGTTTGCTGATCTACTAAGCGCCATATGATAATGCGAAACGTAATTGTTGTATGCAATGGGTTGAATGGGAGCTGCGTGCTATATGCATGCTCCCCATCCTTAGAAATATTTTATCCTATTGGTTGAATGGTCAGCGAGTTCCAGTGTTTGATCTCTCGTGGGGTCATGGAAGCACAATACTTATTAGTAGAGCTGAGATTTATTGGTCTAGACGCCTGACTTCAAACTACTAGGTCACGGGTTCAAACGTCGTTGACTCTTCATCAGCAGTACTGACGAAGAGTCCCAAACTAGGACGAAACAGCTGCACAGTACTCCGACTATTTTCCAATAGTTCTCTAACCGATGTCAGCTGATGATAATGATTTTTGTTATTAAAGCGTGTGTATTGAATTTCCTACGAATAACAAAAAGAAAAGTACTAAGGCTGTTTCTTTAAATATCGATGTAAACAGTGTGTTTTTATATCTAATATACTGGTAAACTTTTGTTAATGTCTAGGGTTTTGCTTCAAAGTCTGTCACATTTGTCATATATATATATATATATATATATATATATATATATATGGCACGTGTATCTAGGTATTATCGAGCTGTCTAATATGATTAGATTGTCATATGTTTTAATGCCTTCGTTGTTGTTGTTTTTTGTTTTCAAAACTGTTACCCTTTTAGTGTGTGCAAGGATTATCGAGATACCTGTAAACGTTTAATGAATCGTTTAACGTCTAGTGTGAGTAAGGAGTTAAGAAGTCATACATGGTCTGTGGATTTTGCACCAACGCCTAGTAACATTATTTGGTGAGTGTTTTCTGTTGTTGTTGTTGTATTTTTTTTTAATAAAAAGAGGTTTTCTCCGTAATTGAATAATAATTTAATTAAAGGATAAATTATATGTACCAGTTGAGGTGGGTGTTGATGGTGGTAAGTTCCTAGCGGGATACGAAGTGCGCATATATTTGTTGTAATGCTAAGATTCACTTTTATTATTGTTTAATTATTGTGTTCCTTCACATTCCCACTGGAATATAGGGCTTCAAGCTAGAGCTTTGAAGTTTCGGTAGCAGTGGTATTTATTTTTATGGGGTAAGGCTGCTAGCCATCCTCATGCCGAACCTTCCCTCTTTACCTGACTTACTATCGGCTTAGTGAGATAAAGAAGTGCGTCGACGGGGAATCGAACCCGGGGACTATATGCGTTCTTGGCGAGTGTTCTAGAGAGAGATTATTGGTGACGTGGTTCAAAATGCTTCAATTGTGGACAGCGCTATTCTGTCTCATCTTGTGGAGACAGAACACAAGATTGACGTTAATTATGCTTTCAGGGTCATTTACCGCATACCTACGAATCTCAATTTCGCTTTAAGAGTTCGACTACTAAATATTGCTGAGGCTGGCTGGTGGGATCCATATTAACAAGCCTAATTTATGCATCCAAAAGAAGTTAGTTCAGACATTATCCTTACCACTTGGCCATCCAGGTTTGAATAATCCAGAATATTTGTGAAATTTCCCTAATTTCAGTTGATATTCTATTCGCTATTATATCTTTATTATTATTATTATGACTTAATCATCTTTAATGAACTGCAATAGCACTGATCATACTTTACAAATCGATATTATTTAAAAAAACGCTAATATTGTTATTAACTACTAATTTAAAATATTCTGTGTATATAAACATGCATATATAATTGTAGAGCTTGGAAGAGGAATTTATCGAAAAGAATATTCTTCGCTCGATTATTTTGTGTTTTATAGATGTCTGAATGAATATTTTTATTATTATTGTTCCCTTGGGTTCCTAGTGGAACATAGGGCTTCAACTGCACGTCTTCACTTCCTTCTGTCTTGTGCTGTACTTTTCACTTGCGTCCATGTTATTCCATACTGTTTCATCTCCTCCTCACACGATCTCCTCCATGTCACCCTTGGACGTCCCACTCGTCGCTTCCCTTTCGGGTTCCACTCGAGGGCCTAACGCGCGATGTCACTCAACGGCTATGAATGAATATTTTTGCTATATTAAAATTTATTTTGATAAATTCTCACAGTGTCATACAGTAATATTTCTGGCACAATTTATTGCCGCTCATAATCATATCAAGGCACTACTCACACAACTTTCTAACTTCGTTTATATGATTCCATTATTTTCCATCGCTTGATTTGATTGGTGGTAGTATTTTCCATATTTCTGGTATGAGTGAGTGAGTCATTCCTATTGCACATGTTGTTTGTCGATGCTATGAGCAAAACTCAGTAATTTAGAAACAAAGTTCAGCGATTCCACTTCATGCGTTAACACACAACTACACAATAGGGTGGGTGGGAGAGAGTCAAGATTCTAAAAAATAATATAAGTAGGTGGAGAGAGAGAGAGGTTGATTATTGAATCTTTGATCATCGAATCTACACCCAACACGTACAATAGGAATGACTCATCACTCATACCGGAAATATGGCAAATACTACTACTACCAATCAAGTCGAGCTATGAAAAATAATGGAATTATATAAACGAAGTTAGAAAGTTGTGTGAATGCGTTCCTTGATATGATTATGACCGGCAATAATTTGTGCTCGAAACGTCGTTGCATCAGTAAATATTGCTGTATAACAATGTGAGACTTAATCAAAATAAATTTTACCTATAATGGAATTATACTCTACCACAGTGCACAGTGCGTCGGTGGCATAGCGGTTAGGACGCTCGCCGACCAAGCACATGGTCCGGGGTTCGATCCCCGGCCGACGCACTCCTTTACCCCGCTAAGCCAGAAATAATGCTGGTGAAGAGGAAAGGTTAGGCATGAGGCTAGCAACCCCATCCTGTAAAATAAACACTGCTACAGAAACTTCAGGCCTCTAGCTTGAAGCCCTATGTTCCACTGGGGAACGTGAAGGATAAAAAAAACAGTGCACAGGTTCTATTCTTATATCAATGGCTCAAAATAGTTTCCAATGGCACACATCCTTCCATACTTTGTCATCGTATCTCAGATCCATTAAATTCTCAATTCTTTTCTCCTTTACATTTCTGTATATCAAATTTTCATCTTTATGTGTGATTTTGCGCGTTGTGGCAACTTGAATTGCTGTACTCTGATGCAAGATTCCAAGCTGTAAACTCGGTTCATCTTCAAATAATTCGATTTAGACTAACTGACTGGATTTCAGTGTAGAACTTTGCACAAAAGTGTAGTGGTTAAAGTTGCCACACTCCATACAGCACACAAAGGCAGACGAAAGACAGAAAAAACGGATCTGAGCTATGTTGCCAATGGTCCTAAGCTATTCGTTGTTTTAGGATCCCGAGCACCCGAATAAGATAGTCTACATCTCCCCACTTGGCTAGCTTAAATTAATCGTGAAAGACCTCATGGATAGATGCCAAACTAATACAATTTTCAAGTGTAGGTTTGTAGTGATTTGATTGATTGGTTACAGGACTTCATCATGAGCTAACATTGGTTAGAGAGCCATTGGAAAACCTGAGAGTGTTGGACAGCTGTTTCTTCCTAACTTGGGACTCTTCATCAGTACGCACCTACCACCAGGGTTCGAACCCAGGACCTTCTGGTTACAAGGCGTGCTCGCAGAGCATTAAGTCATTGAGACCTGACCCGATCTAGTGGCCAGCCCTTGAATTCCAACGTCTGCCAATTCATGACATAGCGCGACCGCTAGCCAATGTCTTCGGCGAGTATTTGTCCTCACACCCGACCTGCTGCACCCTACTGGTCACGACTTCTCACCAGAACCCGCAGGTTACTACCTACCTGAATAGGGCAAGTCGCCAGTGAGCATCTCATTGATATTCAAGTGTTGGTTTTTTAGGGATTTGATTGATTGGTTACAGGATTTCATCATGAGCTGACATTGGTTAGAGAGTCAATTTTCATTGCCATTGCTCTTGTAAGATGGCAGTGGCTCAGCATGTCCAATACATATCATAGCCATTTCAATTGATACTACTTCACAACTGCATCGGTTGACTTACCTTCCTAGCCTAACGTCAACAATACTTATACTGTTAAACCACTTAACACTGGAGACAGAACGCAAAGATCTGTGGGAAACGACAGCTAGTCTTTACATATCTTTCATTTTCAGTGAAGAGTGAGGACATAGAGAACTGTTTCGCAGTACACACGTCCTTTAATCAATTGCAGAATATCACGTGACGTAAGTTGGCGAGTGACATAAAGAACTCTTGCATCCGTGCTGAGATTTCTTCAGAAGTAATAATAATAAAAGCTTTATTCTAGACAGTACTTTCGGTACAAATATGGAATTTTCAGCATTTAATACAGTATTGTATCCAAAGGCACAGAAACACTTTTAGTGTCCTACTGGGAAGCAGGCATAGTGTTAGTAGAAAATGGTTCATTGAAATTACTAGTGAGAGGATGACATAAAACGTCAGCGCGTTTATTGCGGATAATAGCTGCCACATCATCTAGAACAAGGAACTGGCTAGGTTTCAGGGATTTGAGAGACTTGAGGACATCGTTTATGTTTAATCTGGAGAAGCAGTCATTATTAGCACTTGTAGCATTTGAGATGATAACATCAGCTGAACGACATATGAAGGATCATTATTTATTTCCTTAAACAGCTTCCAGATAATTGATGAGGTTTTGCCTGATAAGAACTTCTGGTTATAGATCGTATTTATTTTCTTTATTTCTAACTTAATTGGGATGTTCAGTGTCTTAACAGCATCCATCCAATACCAACAATTCAAAGTGCACCGTAATGGCGAGCCACCTAGCATGGTGGACACATTGCAAACATGACTGATAAAATTCAGTCTGCACCGAAGATAGGACTAGACACATTACACTAGTTACTGACTAGTGTGCAATCAAAAATGTCTTTCAATTTGTATAACCTTTCTTTCTTTCGGAGAAACCTTTTGAGTTTAGAAGAGGAGAAGCGGTCAAATCTTAAGAAGAGTATCTTTTTTGGTCGGCGAACTTCAAGACATATTTTGAGATAACATGTTATGTTTGTGATTGTGTCATTTAGAACTTGTTCAGTAAATAAGTCCGAATTTGTATCATTTAACACGGTTCTTAGATTCTGTATGTTGTCATGGGAGTAACATCTCTGTTGTGTTTTCTTGCCAAATGGCAAGAAAGCCCTTTTGTGCAGCTTTCCATATATTCTCGGTAATGTATTTATGATACAATGATAAGAATTAAATGTTATACTATTTCCAATAATTTTCCTGATTGTGGTAGACTGGATAATGAGACAGACAGCGGGAAGCGAGGAAACAGGCATAAGATGGGCCCACACAAAACACTTGGAGGATCTAGACTTCGCCGGTGATATTTGTCTGATTTCCCATAAACTGGAAGATATGCAAGTGAAAAGAAACAAGTTGGCAGAAGAAGCATCCGGAGGAGATAGGAATTCAGGTGAACATAGGGAAAACAGAGGTGATGAAGATTCCCGGCCAACACCACCAACAGCAACAACAACAAAAGACAACAATCAGCATAAATGGGAGATATCTGAAAGAACTAACCTCCGTTACCTACTGACCTGGGAAGCATCGTTTCAACTACAGGCGAACGGAACTGATAAGGATACCAAAGCGATGATCGGGAAAGCAAGGCAAGCTTTCATTACTTTCAAGTCTGTGTGAAGGTCAACAGCACTCAACATGAAAAATAAGGTTTGGATTTTCAACTCCAATGTGAAGTCAATGCTACTATACGGATCAGAGACTTGGCGCAGCGTCACGAAGGGCATTTCGAACAAACTACAGACCTTCATCAATAGCT